GATATAGGCATATCTAGCCTTATAATGGTACTTATCTTGAATGTCGACAAGATTAAAAGTACGTCTATAATGGTCATGATGGATAGCAGAGGTAGCGTTAAATTGATTCTGATCAAACGAATGCAAAGCATGTAGTTGAAGTGATTTGACATTTGTGGAGTTGCAAATAAATTGAATCTTCTGGATGATTTCATCCTTAGTGAGCTTACTTAATTTGATATGTTCCTTCTTTCCAATTTCTTTCAATTTTTCCACCGTATTTTTCTGCAAAAAGGAGGTAGAATATTTGCAAGAGTTTGCTGAAATGGTTGGCAGTGAAATTGGTGAGGTTTCAAAATCAAATGCATTCGAAACAAGATGGTGATATTTCTTGTCTCTGTCTGATTGGTATTGAGGATTTCTTTGCATAGAAGCGATCACAGATTTTGAAATAAATTCAGCAGCCTTCCAATTACCATGAGTGAGTGTTCTCTTCAACAAATCCCAGATCCATGACTTTTCAGTACCTGAAATAGAGAAAGTGCCAACAACATTCAATTTGATTAGCTCATCAAAGATAGTGAATGAACCAAATGCAGCATCACCAGTAATATGCAAGTTTTGATCAGTACATTCACGAACCATTTTCAACAATTTTAACATTGCTTCCTGAGGGGAATCCATAGGAACTTTGTATTGAGGAAGGATGGCTAAAACATAAGGTTTCCTACATCCAGGAAATAGTACACACAACTTATACGACATAAGTCCATTTGGATATGGTTTTCTTGGAATGTACACTACTGGAATTGGACATTGCAAGAGTTCAGCCTCTGCTTTAACGATTGAGGAAATCTGATATGCATACACTGTTTCGTCCACAACAAAATTGGAACCAATTGTAACAGCATTTAAAGTGATATCGTTTAATGCTGTTGAAATCAATTCAAATTGTTGGTCAGAAGGAGCAAAACATTTCATCAAAGAAAAGTATCTTCTATAACCAGGAATCATGCTATCCAACTTTTCTGCACGAAGCTGTTGTAAATTGGTTTTGGCATTGGCATTCAACTTTGAATGGTTGTTTTCTAAGCTAATTACAGTTCCCAAAAAAGAGAAAAGCTGAGAGATATCAATATCATTGTAATACTTTGAGTGTGAAGATGCTTTTCCAGTTGTACTCTCTCTGGTCAAGTTAGTGTTTAATATGTCCAATAGTATTTGCCAAAAGTGGTTTGGAATCATGTTTGAAATTAGAAGTTCAAGGCTGACCTCAGTGCAAGTTACATTTCTCAGAATGGTTTTAGGAGTGGTAGGAGTTTCGGTAATTTTAGGATACACAATGTTGGAAGAAACCTTTTCAAATCCTTCTTTGTTAAAATTGAATAAAGATGCTATCCAATCAGTTTCATCATCCAACTGCTTAGCAGAGTATTTAGGTGTTAGGTTTTGGCCGTTGGATGGACTGAGTTGGCTTGATTGCTGATCTTGGCTATTTTGTTGATTGGAGGTAACAAAGCCATCGAGTGTAGCTTGTTTTTTGTTAGTGCTGGAGGCGTCTCCGTTCTTTCTTTTCATTTTGATTAATTCTAACCGTTCATCCATACGAATATTTGAATAGAAGTTACACGTTCACAGTGAACAGAATTTTATCATTTTTACAATCCAAACGGTTTTTATTGGCGGGAAAAGGGAGCATTCTATTGTTTGAGGAAGCATTGCAAAAAAGCGGCGTGAACTTTTCAACAGATATCCAATTGTACACACTGTCTCAATGAAAGTATATCCAAACATCATGTAACTTTACCAGATACATTTAGTCACACTGATATACATCTGGTATCAATTTTATTGTTTTAGAATTGAATTCAATATGATAATAATTGTTACACGCCAGAATTTCTCGCGTGAAAATCCACGCCAAAAAATTCTTGGCGTTATTAAGCCACGCCACTTTTTCGAACCCTTATTAGAAAATCCAATAAGGAAATTAAACTCTCCATTTCGGAATCCTAATTTGTTTTGAATGTCCTCTCTCATTACTTTTAAAAAATACCTCCACTCATCATCATTGGTATTTAATTCAATCAAATCATCATCATATTGGAATATTTCAATTATAGTAGCTGGGCTACATCTCACCAATAGTAATTATAGCAATATTTTATGGTAGTTCTTCTTCTCGGAATATTTTCTATCATCGGAATTTTCAAACTTCCAAACATCATCATTAAGCTGAAATTCATCATCGCAGTATATTTATTATTATATTACTAGTAATTTGAGCAATTGAAATCTCCCTTAGTAGTTGTAATAGGGTGAAATTACAAATTTCTCATAATATCATCCTCATCAGGAGATTTACTTGTTCACTAGGAATTTCTTCAATTAGGGATTGTTGGCAATACTCTATAGTATCACCAATATCAATAGCAGGAATTCATCTTCTCATTTCATCAATCATGTATATTTTGAAAATATACATATGCCACAACTCAACATGTACTTCATCATCTTCCAAACTTTCTTCGAATAGTACTATTCAAATATATCTTCAACAACACTCCGAATAATAGTTTTTGGATATTTGGAGTTTTCACCTTGTTGGTGGTGTATTCATCATTCACCATATATTTTCATCATGACGATTGAATTTCAACAACATAGTATCATTAGTAGGGATGTCTAATATCACCATCAAGAGAGTTGGAATTTTTCCACTTAGTATTCATCGAGTTGTGGAATTTTCACTTCATCATATCTTTTATCATCAATATCATCAACAAGTTCACTTCCGATCATTAAGGAAAATATATTTAAGGTCATCATCATCGCACCATCAATAAAATTCACAAACAGTGAATTTTCCAACATGGTAAATTTCATGGTCGGAAATCTTGCTGATTTTCAACCTTGATTCAAAACAATTTTCAATAAATTTTCAATTTGTTTTATTCTTGGTGCGTTTATTTCAATCTATATTAATTGCTTTGCTCACATTCCACCATTCATAGTTTAAATAATAAAATTAGTAGATGATGTCTTTTCGGTTAAGGTAGTGTGAATCCAACCCTTATTTGGACCTTAGGAGAAAATCTCATTTTAAGGAGATTTTCTCCGTATTAAAGTATTAACAATACTACAAGGTGTAATACTGTATTTAATAAATACAAGAGTTAATATTATTTTCACAGGAAATTACACTCTCTTTGCTTAAAGGTAATGATTAATGAGTGGTATTAATTTCTCGGAACAAGATATCTTCCTCATGATAAAAATCATCAAAGTAGAGATTATATTTTTTCAACTCTTTGGTTTTGTAATAGGAGAATAATGTTCAATATACAATATATTAAACTCATCAGTGGTTGGATGCCCTTCAATTTATTAAGCTTAATTACAACTTGTATTAATGTCCTATTAAGGTCATTTCTGCGTTTGTAAACCACGCGAGAATTTTCGGGAGTGGAAATTTTGGCGTAAAAGCCACGCGGAAATTGTGGCGTGTAACAAAAGTATGCTTGTTGAGAAATAAACATGTCTTTAATCCAATTCCTCTAAACCATCTATAGTTGTTTTGTAAATGACTGGCAAATTCACTCCCAAGGAATAGCTATCTTCAATCATCTTTAATTGTTCTTCTCTAGAGAGAGTTCTATCGTACTTTGTCATTTTAATTTGTTTTTTAATATCTTTCACCAGAGCATTCACCACAATATTACAATCATCATCGACATGCATTGTAATTGAAAC